CACTGCGACCGGCGCCCTAGGGCCACCCGGGAGAGCGCCCAGGCTGGTGGATGCTCGAGCCGGGTGCGAGGCTCAAGAGGCTTGCCCGGCCAACTCCCTTCTTGTCCACAGCCCTTTCATACTCTTGACCCCATTGCACAGGGTAGGACAACAGAGACTAAGATAGGGAAAGGAACTTGCTTAAGGTTCTCCTGAGCATCTGTGCTGGAGCCAAGTGTCTTCAACAAGGGCGGCAGCCTTCTGCTGCTACCACGTCTGATTCAGAGCAGAAAGGAGCAGAGTCAAGGACCACCTCAGGTAGCCCTACCTGTGGCAACATCCCCCATGCTTTCCGAATTTGACTGCTCAGCTGTTAAGACGTTAGGCAGTCCCAAACTCCCGTCAGGCAACCAGAGGCCCAAATTCAGGCTTCAGGCCTGTTCTGAGCCTCAGTTTTAGTCTGTTGAATGGGGATAACTATAGTCCCGACCTTTATAGTCACCGAGAGAAAGCACAGGTTCGGCTGATTGTGCTGGTCTCCTTACACAGAATCCTTCAAAGCCTGCTTGCACACGTGTCTGTTTGCCCTCTCAACCCTGGGAAGCCTGCTAGGGTGGGTGTTCAGTAATGAACATCTGCAGGTGTCAGGCCGAGTCAAAGAACTACCCTGGGGCAGCGCTTCAGCTCTTTCCTCCCTGCCCCTACTCTGAAAACTCTGTCAATACAACTTAATCCGGTGCTCGGTAGAAGTAATCCGTACTGGATTTGAACAGGACGTCTGGTCCACCAGGAGTGCCAATTCGGTGACATCTCCAGCAGACAGGCGACTACTGCACAGTGGGGCATAGGCTTATGCTGCCTGTGTGCCTGAATGTGAAACTTCATATTCAGGCTTCTTCTGGCAGGCCTGATAATCAGTGTGACTCCTAGTCCCAGTGGTGTGGCCCTTGGAAACGTTTCCTTTGTGAAAGGAAGCCTTTTCTATATAACCCTACAGGTACAAGGGGTGAGGGGGAGGCGGTCTGTATGAGCCTTAAGAGCGCAAAGCGGGTGTCTGGAACCCCAATCACTCTTCACTGCCGCTGTCTTGCACCCAAGCTGGAGCCCTGCACTGTCTCCTTTCCCAGGCTTGCCTGGCCCGAGGAGGCCACAACTTTATCCCTTCTGCTTTGGAAGCTCTTTCCTTCCATCCCCGGGCCGTAGCTCCGTGGCCCTTCCGGGAGGTGCCTTCCTTCTCTCGCCGAGGGCCCCTCGTTCGGATGGTTCCGGCCCACCCATTTCCTGTGCCGCTCCAACTCCGCCCCCACTCGAGGTGGAAAGTTTCGCTCAAGATGGGCGGCTCCTTCTCCTTCCTTCCCAGATGGCCAGAAAAACCCAAAATGAGTGAGAAGGGGGGTGGGCTCCCAGGCCGACAGTCTGAGAGGGGAAGTGACCCGACCGCAGGCACACAGCGGCGAAGCCAGGCTCGGCCAACCGGGAGCGCTCCCAACCCCGCCCTGAGATTTTAGCCCACTCTGGCGTTAGCCTTTCAGGCGTCTCCGGCGCCATCTGCCGGCTAAGAGCGCCCCGCACTTGCCAGAAACCGCCATACAGTAGTCCTACCCCAGAGTAAAGCAGTCAAAACACAGTAATACTGACAGCATTTATTTAAGCGCCCAGAAGGCTGGCCCTTAAATTTAAATATCCAGCATGGGGCCCTAGCCTTTTACCGCCGTGGGTGGGTGCAGGGATGGGTCCCGAAGACCTTATCCAGGACGAGAACCCAGGGACAGAGGTGGGGTGCCCCTGAGCCAGGAGCTGCCAAGAGCAGCAAAAGGTGAAAAATAGATGGGAGCCAGGTACTCAGCCCAGCCCCAGAGACGCCGAGGAGAATGCAAGATGCTTTGGGCCCCACAGCCAGACCGAGGGTTGGCCAAGCTGGGGGTGCACGTGTGTGGGAGGTGTGGAGGCCCAGCGCCAGAGGCAGAGGCTTTAACCTAGGACTACATCCAGTGCCAGCTCACCAGGAAAGGGGGCTACCAGTTTTGCCTGAGGGGCACATGCCTTGCCTTGCCCTTCTGAGGTAAAGTTGAGGTGGTACCGGTGGAAGAACAGGCACTGTCATCTGAGAATGGCTAAAAGGGTGAGTTTTTCACCTTTTCCTCAGGTCATCCCCACCGACCCCAGATCTTCAGAGGCTGATGTGGAAGGCGTCCTGCAGCCACTGGTCACGGGCATTGTGCGTGTGGGGCACAGTGAGGGGCGGTGGGTCGGGGGGCAGGCTGGCATCAGGTGGCTCATCATCATCAGACAGGCCGGCGTCAGGTGGGTAAGAGCTGTCCGAGTGCAGGGAGGATGACAGGTCCTGGCATAAGCTCAAGTCTTGGCACAGATGCTTGTAGTCCTGGATTGACTCATACAAGCCCCACAGCTGGCACAGCAACGACATGTCCAGCTGCCGCAGACCCACCTGCAGACAACTGACAGTGGGCTGGAGTTGGGGTCCAGGCCACCCCCAGCCCATCCTCCTGGAATCCAAGACCCCCAACCCAGGCCACAGCTCTAGCCAATTTTCCTGTACCTTCCTAAGTGAAAGTTTTGGGGACAACTGACAGCACCTGCAAGCTGTGAAACTTTAAGCAAGTCACTGAGCCTTCCACATCTATAAAATGAGGTAAGGCACCTACCCAGTAGGACGAGATGGGCATTGGTAAAACAAAAACATACACAACTTCTGCCATGCGCTGCTACTGTTTCTAATTGCTGTTACAAGCCCAAGACTCATATGCCTTGAGACTTAGGACCCCATCCCACTGCCGTGCCGCAACGCTCCCGCGGAAGCCCCTCACCCACTCACCATCTCCTTGCGCAGCGCGGCTAGAGCCGAGTCGAGGTTGACCGGCCGGCGCGGGCCCGAGGCGA